GTCTGGATTAGACAGCTTTACCGTACCACGTGGCCGTGTAGCACGCTTACTACGCGATCTCAGTGCACACAAGGCCAGTGGTCCCGACGGGCTCAGTGCCCGGATTCTCAGGGAATGTACCGAGGAGCTAGCTATTCCATTAGAAATAATATGCAAGCTTTCTTTTAACTTTGGCGTCTTCCCCGTCATTTAGAAGCAAGTGAATGTGATACCGGTGCATAAGAAGGGATCGAAAAAGCCTGCCTGAAAATTACAGACCTGTGTCGTTGCTTCCTATCTGCTCAACAATATTGGAGAGAATTGTGAGCGATAGGTTATTATAAGTTTGTCTGCCCGCCCCTCCCTCATACTAGCACGGATTCCTTCCGAAGCGCTCTTGTATCATAAACCTTTCATATTTTCTTGAACACTATTAGGTATCTTTTTTCAAAAGGCAAACAAACAGATACAATGTACACCGGTTACTCTTCAGCCATTCACCAGCGTGAATGACTTTCTGCTACACACGATTCGCTATTCTTTTTGCATCACTGGCCGTGCGTGTAGCTGAGTGGAGTCTTGCCTCAGCAATCGTTCACAACGCGTAGTGCTGAACGGCAAACAATCTAACTGGATTCCAGTGCGATCTGGTGTCCCGGAAGGCAGCATCCTAGGACCGTTGCTAGTTCGCCTGCTTTCTGGCTGATGCTTCTGACCAAATCAAGAGTGAGTGCCTAATGTACGCTGATGATGTGAAAATTTATCACTGAATCGACAACGTAGCAGGTTGTCTTACAATTCAGGCGGATTTGGGTTGCCTCTGTGAATGGTCCAAAAACTGGGGACTGAAATTAAACCCAGCTAAGTGCATATCATCTCATTCACCCTTCGCACGTCACCTGTTCATTAATCATATGCACTAGACGGCCACCGCTTGGATAGCTGCCAGCAGATTCGCGATCTTGACGTCTTCCTGGACACCAAACTCACCTTTGCCAATTACATAGATTCATCTGTCTCAAAAGGGAATATGATGCTGGACCTTCTCATGCGAAGCATGCAAATGTCGTCGTGCCCTCGTCAGGTGCGGTTCAATCACAAGGTTTTGCTTTGTGCCTTCAACGCTCATGTGAGACCATTGATAGAGTACGGTAGCGTTATTTGGAGCGGTGCTGCCGTTTCCCATCTCGCCCGGTTCGAAAGACTACAACACCGCTTTCTCATATGGTGGGGTTCGAGTAGCCAGTCTCGGTGTCTTCCATTGGATTATGAGTATCTTCTCGCCTTCTTCAAAACATCATCCATCAAGGCACGCCTCGCTCAGTCTAGCATCTTATTTCCAAACAACGTATTACATCACCGGCTTGACTGTGTTCACCTGACATCACTGTTCAGTCTGGCTACACCTGTCTGGCGTTCTCGGCATATCGACCTTTTCCACCAGCCATTTGCAAGGGCTAACACTGTTAAAAATGGATTTTCTGCACGACTGCCCGCTACCTGCAATGAATTTTTGCAGCATTTTCCTTCAACTGACTTTTTCACCCAACAAAATAACACCGGTCTTATTTGTTTAGGTTCGCTGGCACACGTGGAACATTTTCTTAATAACTTGATGCGCGACTGTGTGTGTGTTTGTGTGTGTGTGTGTGTGTGTGTGTGTGTGTGTGTGTGTGTGTGTGTGTGTGTGTGTGTGTGTGTGTGTGTGTGTGTGTATGTGTGTGTGTGTGTGTGTGTGTGTGTGTGTGTGTGTGTGTGTGTGTGTGTGTGTGTGTGTGTGTGTGTGTGTGTGTGTGTGTGTGTGTGTGTGTGTGTGTGTGTGTGTGTGTGTGTGTGTGTGTGTGTGTGTGTGTGTGTGTTTGGTTAGGTTTTTTGTTTGTGTATGCATCGCATATTTATTGTTCTTGAAGCTTGACTGCTTCCGTAATTGGGACTTTGTCTGTGGAATGCTAATGTCCTATATAAAGAAATAAGCAAGTAAGCAAGGCTTACCGCGGCGTCACCACGTAGCCCCCATCCTCTATCATCACTGAATAATGCCGGAATCCCTCATCGACGCGCCAGAATCTCTCATCGACTTATGATCTTTCAAAAGGACGGCGATTACTCCTTTCGTCGATGGCGTCGACGAAATCCCTCATCGGCACGCCGGAATCCCTCATCGGCTCATATGTGCGAATCTCACCCGCTGGAGTCGCCGGATTGATTCTAACAGCGGTATCCCTTAGTGACCGAATTCACTGCCGCTGCTCAGGGTCTGTTGCCCATAGTCATCTCAGCGAACCCCCGCCTGTGGCCGCCTATAAATCGACCAACGAAAAAAATCCCCCGACTCTTCCAACAGCCCAACGCCCTTTACGAACTCCACCATCTGGGAGTCACAAGAGAAGTTGAAAAGCGAGTCTCACGTTCTGTGAGTCGCGAATTCATCAACGGTATCCTACGCCTTCTACTGCTACTGTCGCCATGAGGCCAGCGACGCGCAAAAAGGCGTTCCACCTCATCTCAGTCGCGAAGAGATCGACAGCCAATAGCCAGCTTCACCAATTCTGCAGGGAGTGGGACCTTTGAGTCCACCGCTAGACAACTGCCCACGTACCGTGTAGGACTTTCTCCGTCGCTCCCCGCAAGGTGTCATTACGTAAAGCACCAGTGACGTATTTAGCCCGTCGTGACAAGAGTGATTCGACTGCACCCGTGGAAAATTCACGGTGGACCCAAGCTGTGCGTAATACCTGAACTGTGCGAGATAGCTGTATTGACCTACGAACATAGACCTGACTGCGGCTGCGAAGTAACTTGATCCATGGTGAAGCTGAAGGGATGGTACAGAGTTAGTGTAATTACAGAGTTGTCGCATGAGCCTGGTATAGGAATGGTAAATGTGGCAAAAAGGTGGTAGAAGAGACCAGCCCCGTGTAGTACCTGGGTGGTAAGTGTGTCATTAACACCCGGCAATATGGTTGGACAAATCGACTAACTGTTGCTAACAAAAGCGGTAAATTTTTATGTCGGTGTAAACTTTGGCCACAGCCGTCTAAACTTGAAATAACTTCTAATAGCACACATGTTGCTCAAATGATTTGAAACTTTACTCAACTGATGCTGGAATTCAGGCAATTCTACCAGTGTCATGTTGTGAAATTCTGTCGAGCGATTTGAAGGTAAATTTTGGCTACTCTCGTGGCCGCGACCACAGCTGCGACCGTTAGGGTCCTACTTCTTTAGTGGCTTCAACTCATGTTATTCGCCAAAGGAGGAAAGCGGGCCTCCCTAACTAATCCCGCTCAAAAACCGGCCCATCCTAAATAAGTCCGGTAGCCACTTTACAGAGGGGAAACACGGGAAAACGACACAGATGTAATTTTGCTTTGATGGGCCAGACAGCACGGAAAATAAAGTCGACAGGGACAGCCATTCAAGATCACAATTTATTGCATATATGTGGGGAAAAAACCGTGAGTAAAAGCTTGTTTACGTCGAAAGTCGGACCGTCACCTATTACCGGCATTATTCCTACGCGCCATGAGGATACGTCGTGGATCAGTTCCCGTCAGACCTTACGCAATGGCGATTTAATCACGAAGTCCAGGACAAGATCGGTTAAGACAGGATCATTGTCATCTAGCAGCGTTTAGAGGGTATGGGGAGGCGGTGTGCTGTCAAGTAACTCGTGACATAACGACATTCCCGAGTAAGAGCAGCGGATTCAATTAATACATGTTCAACCGCAAGCCGAAAATTACAAGTCTCGCAGACCGGTGGTGCAGAGCGACTGAAAAAGTGACTGTGGGTGAGACGAGTGCGGCCACATCTCAAACGCATCAAAACCACTTCTCTCTGCCGGTTCTCCTGGTGGCACGTCACCCATGGTTGGAGTGTGGGTTCGATTCGATACATATGGCTTGCATGCAAAATATCCAACAGATTCTGTAAATACCAAGCGAAACGGACTTCAATGGAGAACATCACCATGTGCCAGACACGTCCAGAGCCGTTGGTAGACGGACACCTTCATTCGCAAGAGTGTCGGCGACAAGGGTGACTGGCATTTCCCGAGATGCCACAATGTCGGTATCCACAGAAAGGTCACATGTTGGTCGGTGGGTAGCCAAAGCATTATATTATGGATGTCATACGCGCCCGGGTGGTCGAAATCATGGAGCCGCTGAAGGGTCTGCAGCGATGCCTTGGAGTCTGTGCATATCGTAGCCTGAGGAATACGTCTGGCTCTGATATGTAACAGCACTCGTTTTATAGCGTACACTTCCGCAGAAAACACCGTACTGAAGTCTGGAACACCTCCGGTGAATCGAAAGTCGGGGCCGACGGCTGCTGCACCAAGCTGGTGCAACGTGAGCATATCCATCGGCGTAAAAAAACCGATTCAACGTGCGTATTTCGGTACTCGATGAACACAGACTGTACCTCAACAGCAGTCAATTCCGATTTCTTGGATCTTAATAGATACCCTATTGAGAGGTAATTGTGCAGCCAGAACGGCGTCAATGCAAAGTTACGAAAACGCGTGCGCATGGGATGTAGAACCCGTCGCCCCTGTTTGACATCGTCGGACAGGCGAGACGGCCTTCGCTGCTGTCTGTGGGTGCGGTCTACTGGTTTCAAGAACAGCGCATATCGCTAGGTTCAAATTTCACACTGAGATTCGAATATGTTTGCGATAAACACATAAAAGTTGACGACTTTGGCCGTCGCTATTGCCACGAGCGTAACAGCATTTTGGGAGAACTGCCGAGACGTGCGCAGTGTGCGCGCGTAGTGCGATACTGCGGTTGGCGTATGAATGTGCGTGTATGTATATGTGTCTACATATATACATATGTATATATATATATATATATATATATATATATATATATATATATGTATATATATATACATATGATAAAAGCGGTGCACATATATGACACTGTATATGTGATACCTGAATAACCGTGATCTGAAACGCTATAAAATAGCTACGTGCGCGCACGCACATGCGCCTACGCGCACGTGGGAGAGCTTGTACCGGCTACGGGTCAAAATGCAGGAAATTCAGGGCTGAAAATCGGCCTTGTGCTTACGATGGGATGTGAAATGATTTGTACTTCTTAAGTATTGTCACCACCAACATTCATTCATTTCACCGATATTCACATTGAGTACAATAGAGATGGTTCGTGTGATGCGAAGGTGTGAAAAGGTCGATAATCGCTAGAGATATAATCAGTTGAAGTGAAGTGCTATGATTTGGAAGGGCAAGCAGGGCAACTACTTGTGAATCTCCCTGTATTGTAGTGAGGAGCAAATACTTGATGTGATGCAGCTATGAGTAATGCTTAATGCCTGGTAGTATTTGCCTTCTCTGCCAGGATTAGTTACCTTTCAAAAACTTGAAGGCATGGGGAATAAGTTGCACAGTATGCATTCTTTAAAAAACTTCCATCCTAGCTGCACTTTTCTAGCAATCAGATATGATCAAGTATCACATGATAGGGTGCTGTTATAAAATTGTTTCAAATCAAGTTGTGCCAAATAGAAGTGGAGTATTTGTTTTAATTTTCTGTAGGCTAGGAATATATTTGTGAATGTTTTTATGCTTAAAATATATTCAAAACATGCCTGCAATCACCCCTGTTATGAAACCAGTGTTGCTTTCAGGGATACAGGCAGTATGGGCTCATGTCTTAAAAATTGCATTATGCCATGCCTTGCAGGGCTTTATCTGATAATTGTCATTGAGCACAATTATATAGAATGATTGTGCTGAATGAGTGAAATGGTAATAAACAAATATATCATTTTGTTCCCAGATTAGCAGCAAGATGCCAGGAAAGATTGATGCTGTTGGTTTTCTGATAAAATCCATGGGTAAGTCAGCAGTATTTCATTGTAGACAATCATTCCATCATGACATGTATTACATAAAAGTTGGTTTGCAAGATGCTAAAATATAAATGCAGGATATTATACCTGGGATATTGCAACACAACATGACAGTTTTTATCTGATCAGTTCCTTGCTCTTGTATATTAGTGATTTGATTTTTATGTTGATTAAATATTTTGTGATTTTGAAATGCCCAATGTGATCTGACATTGTTATGTAGTCAAGCATGAAGCCTGCAACTCTGGTTTGAGCATTACAGCATCCTCATGTTTTTTTCTTATATCTGGCTTGAAAGTTTTTTACACCATGAAACCATTCAACAAGGCAGAGTTACTTTTCCTGCCTGATATGACAAGAAAGTTGGGCAAGGTTTCCAACCTCCCACTTAGTGATGTGGTCTATCTGGGGCATACCAGATATCTTAGGCAGACCATGGTGTTGCATCATGACTTGCAATTCTGTGATATCCAGTTTGCCCCCCCCCCCCTCGACTGGCCATGGACTGCTCGGACCCAGCCGGCTGGCCAAGTTGGGTGTCTGACCGTGTGGGGATGTTGGCGGCAGTGGAGCGTGACCCAAGCAAGCGACGTGTCAAGCCCAGCCAGCAAGCGCTGCAGGAGTTTGAGGGACTCGAGCTCGAGGACAGCTCTGATGACAGCGACTACAAGGTCGATGAGAAGGTCAGTTGCTCCAGTTTTTAAGGACTAAATCAGATGTTTTTGAGTGGATAGATGAGATCTTGCCCCAAGTAATGTTTGTTGTGTGATCCATTGCCCCTACCATCTGTTAGTGCAATTTCAGTTCAATGGCAAAATTGGATGGCCAAAGTCTGACGTGCCACAATGCTTGGAATGGTCCGTGCTGCCCTCTGACGCCGCCCTGGCCGTAAGCGCGACCACTGCCACCGGCCGTAGGCCATGCCTTTCAAGGGCAATCGCCTTACTGTAAAGTTGCAGACGGTTCCAAGTGGTTATAGTTACCCGTTCTGGATCAACAGATCCAGGTAGATTTCACAATCCGACTGGAGTTTCAGGCAACTTTCATTGTCATCACTGCCATCAGGATATGATGGTGTGAATAAGCTGAACAGTATGATGCATTGATAAGAATCTTACGATCAGACATGTGCCTGGCCGGATCCAGCTCGATTACGGGATCAGGAGCCCCTTTTAAGGATAAGGTGCACGTCAAGTTGAAATATGATGGTAGGTTTTATTTAAATTATTTTGTATAATATTACAACCAGGCATGGGGAGGAAGACACATTTTTGGCTTCGAAGCCGAATCCGAAGCTATCGCATTGACGAAAGGCTGAAGACGGTGCCTTGGAAGTTTGGAATGGTGGAGCTGAAGGCGAAGCTAGTGGCTCCGCATTTTTTAAACGAGAAACCGAGTCCAAAGCGAGTGACTTCGAACTTGGCACTCGCGAAACCAGAGCCGAGGCCAGCGGTTCGAACTTATGGACGACACGAGGTGTTGGCATTACGTATTGAAGATTTGTCAGACCATCGTCCTCGTCCTGTGTGTACGTGCGCAGCGTTGCCCGCAGCTCTCCAGCCGTGGTTAGGTCTTAGCTGTTCCTGAGAATTCCCGGCTGGTTTTTTACTTTCATCCATGTATGCGCGGCAACCTCGGGGAGTTGTATGCTGTAAACGAGTGACAGGACTGGCAGGGCTGATTATGTTAAGTTAAGTTGCAAGTGCAATAAAAAAATACGTAATGAAGAAGTGGAAGCTGCTGTTGAAGATCGCATGAACCTAAAGCCATAATAAAGAATTCGAGCCCGGAGTCCAAGTGGAAACTGGTTTTTAAAAGAAATGACTCAAAGCCGAACGGGAAGCCTATTGCATGGAAACTCAGCGGCATTGCGAAGCCATCGCTGACTTCGTCCCCATGCTGGATTACAGAGGAATTAGCCGCGCAAGACATGGGCATGAACCGACTCAGATGCCTGTCGTTTACATGCCCATACAATAGTTTGCGTATCTTCTGACAAATACAACGCCGGGCGAAAGGCCGCGTTTCCCAAAGGATGTGTGGATCTCTTCTGATGCATATTTTGTACCTTACTGACACTGACTTTCTCGTTTCTTGCAGGAAGATGACGATGAAGATGATGTGGATTCGAATTTCAGCGGAGATGATAATGATGAAGATAAGAATAACGATGACAGCGGGTCCGACGATAGCAGCAATGAAGGTATGTCAGTTGCTAACTCATTGCTGGGGTTTCGCATGAGCGGTCAGCGACTTAATAAATCGCGCTGGCTTGCACGATGAGTAGCCTTTAGACCTGGTCCCCAGTGCTTGGACGATTTATTGACATTTTGAAATCATGGTTCCGCTGCCAATCGTACAAACCTGACCCTGTGGCTCCGTGATTTAAATACACCACTCCATAATTCAGATCCACTATTCTCCATCGCGCGCTCATGGGTTATACTGTGTAAGCTATATTTTTCTACAGTTGTCTATCGTTGTCTATTGTGATTGTGTAGTATCACTAAGCATGCACAAGACGTTGGTAGAAATAAGTGTTCGACGAATCATTGCACCCGCTGATTGTCATTCAGAGAGTTTGCCTGGCGATCGGTAAGCGGCCGGTGTCAGGTCAGTCGGTATGCAGGCGTGCCGCGCCAGAGCGGCGTGCGCGGTGTCCGTGTCCCGATCGCCAGCGCTGACACGGCCGGCCGCCGGCAGCTGACGCCGAGCAGGACGCCGAGGTGACCGTGTCCGAGCTGCTCACCCGCGCCGGGCAGAGCGGTCCCGGCGCCGGCGCCGGCCAGGTCAGTGGTCCCGCCGCGCTCTGTCGCCTGGGGTCGGCTCGAACCGGCCGGGGTCAGCAGGCACTGCTGGCTGGTGCCATGACCTGCCTTGTGCACACTCGGACCCGCGGTCTGGTCCTTCGCCATACATTTCAGACGTCGGAAGCCCATGATCATGACATGTGGCCTGTATTTCATGCACAAGTGGGCGGCAATAGGTGTGGGAGCCTTTCTCTGGATCGACGTCTGTAAGCTTGGCTTCCATCACGCTGTATTTTCGCTAGCATGTGCTCCTACCAATGTATGGTGACAATTGTGTTGACAGATACGTGCGTTGACATTAAATCTCTGCTTGATTAGTGATGGTTCGCACAAGATGTTGTGACCTCGAGGCACTTTCCGTCATGAGACTGCCGCGCGACTTGTGTATGCGGTCCCAAAGAGCACTTTTGTCACCAACTGCCTAAAATGTGATCAGGCCCGCAAAACAAGGATAACCGATTGAAAACCCATTGCAAGTCTAGCTGGTGTTTCTCGGAACGCACAGAGGGTTGGTAACGCCCTCGTACACATCGCCAGGCTGTGAAGCGGATCAAGATCTGTTCCATCTGCCTGGGAGATCGCAGCTCGGACCAGAACGAGATCGTCGAGTGTGACGGGTGCCACGTCACCGTGCACGAGGGTGAGTGACCTGTGCTGTGACCCCGGGCCCGGCCACGGCCTGGGCGTGGTGAGGGGCCTACACGAGTGTAGCCCCCGCTGACCCTGGTCACGAGGGTGAGTGGCCTGCGATGTGACCCCGTGTCTGGCCCCGGCCGTGGCGTGATGAGGGGCCCGCACGAGTGTGGTCCCCACTGACCCTGGTCACGAGGGTGAGTGACCTGCTGTGTGACCCCGGGCCCGGTCCTTGGCCGTGGTAAGGGGCCTGCACGAGTGTGGCTCCCCCCGACCCTGGTCACACGTTGATCGCCTGAGGTTGTCGCCGCGTCTCAAGGCTGCTGTTTCGCGCTCCACCCCGTCCCAGTCCCAGATACTGCTGCCGCCTACAGGATGTCGCCTGTACTATGGATAGGTGTCGCCTGCATGCCTCTGTTCATACAGCTGCCGACGTCCGGGCTACATGCAGTGGTCCTTACCTCGAGCATGTGTGGAAAGCCGTTTACCTTGTATTGAACGGTCATTTCGCTGGTAGGATGCCGAACTCTGTTAGGCATCTGTGCTTTGTTCGGTGACAACAAGGTTCGCATACGGGCATAACTTCTGCAAATAGTGTCCTCCTGTATCCTTCATACTGTCCCTTGTTTGCCTTCTGTTTGCCGAGCGTGGATGCTCGCGCCGCTTTGAGCTGTGGTGTTGCCTATTTGCGCGCTGTGCTCCCAGACTAACGGCGTCGGTAAAAGTCACAGTGTCTCCGCCGGTCCCGTTTGAGCCTGTACATTCGCTGTGTGCCTCCAGGCTGTAACGGGGTCAGTGAGAGTCACAGCGTCTCCGCCGGTCCCGTTCGAGCCCGTACACCCGCTGTGTGCCCCCAGGCTGTAACGGGGTCAGTGAGAGTCACAGCGTCTCCGCCGGTCCCGTTTGAGCCTGTACACCCGCTGTGTGCCCCCAGGCTGCAACGGGGTCAGTGAGAGTCACAGCGTCTCGAGCTCAGCATCATCGGATCCGACCGAGCCGTGGTTCTGCGACGCGTGTCGCGCCGGCGCCACGCGCTTCGAGTGTGACCTCTGTCCCAACACAGGTCAGTTGTAAGCGTGGCCGTGCCACAACACGGGTGTCAGCGTTGGTGGTGGTCTGAGGTTCGACCTCTGCCCCAAGACAGGTTACGCTTGGCGTGACCTCTGCCCCAACACGTGTAGCTGTCGTCGCTATTCTTGTCTTGCATGTGATCTTCCTAATTTTTTGAGCGGAGCATTTTAAGGTAGCACACGATCACAAGAAAACGGGGACCTGAGGTTAATCAGAGCACATTTTGTGTGACCCTGCGGTGACTCCTACTGGTCTTTCTGTCATGCCGAGGTAATGGGTGTTTGCCGACAGTTTTAGGCCGCCGTGACAAACAACCTACATTCGGTTAGATTCGACTACATTATAAGTTTGCCCCACATGCACGTCGCGAGTATGTCATGCCTGCCCGCGGGGCCCTGTCGGCCGGTGGGGGCCGCCACGCCGCCGGTGCCGGCGCGTCTCCAGCGCTGGCCGGGCCCTCTGCGTCAGTGGCGGCACGCGCCTCTGTCCCCACCGCAGGCGGCCTGCTGAAGGAGACGGACACGGGCCGCTGGGTGCACCTGGTGTGCGCGCTGTACGTGCCGGGCGTGGCGTTCGGCGACGTGGACCGGCTGACGTCCGTCACGCTGTTCGAGATCCCGTACACGCGCTGGGGTGGCAAGGCCTGCTCCGTCTGCGAGGACACCAGCCTCTCGCGCACCGGCGTCACCATCCAGTGCGACGCCGGCATGTGCAAGGCCGCCTTCCACGTCACCTGGTGAGCCGGGCCGGCGCGCAGCCGGCCAGCTGGGCCGGGCGGCCGGCTCTGCCCCGGATGTGCTTCGATTCCCCGCCGTGGTCGGCGTACAAGATCCAAATTGCTTTGTGATAGGCGCTCCTATAACTGTTGAAGCGTGGAAGTGTATGATATACTCGTTTTTGGCACGTGCATTGCAAGCTTCTTATCAAGTTTATTTTGGAACTTGCTTCCACCAAGTGAATTTAATTGAAGGTGAATATGAATCAGGCGTGATGGGATAATTGCGATAATTAGTCATCAACGCCACATCTGGCATGTGTGTGCGATGTATACGGTCAGTACCCCTCACACCGCCGGTGCTCAGCCCTCTCCCCGGACACGGCCCCCGCTCCGGACACGACCACTGCCCCGGACACGGCCCCCGTCCCGGACACAGCCCCCGCCCCGGACACGGCCCCCGCTCTGGACACGGCCTCCGCTCTGGACACGGCCCCCGTTCTGGACACGGCCCCCGCCTCGGACACGGCCTCCGCTCTGGACACGGCCCCCGCTCTGGACACGGCCCCCGCTCCGGACACGGCCCCCGCCTCGGATGCGGCGATCGGTCCGGTGACGGCTGGCTCACTGCGCTCGCCGACAGCGCCCAGCGCAATGGCCTACTCCAGGAGCCCCGCATCGACGAGGAGGCGGCCGACCCGTACTTCGCCCACTGCAAACTGCACACGGACAAGGCGCAGATCAGGTACGACCGATGGACGGCGGGCTCTGGGCCCGCTGCTGACATAGGATGGTCGCAGGAGTGTTGGCTCAGCTGCCATCTGGCGCGGTGCCAGGGGTGGACGGAGGGTTATGTAAGCCAGACATGTGGTTAAATGCTGGTTGTGAACTCTCAGAAGATTCAAATCTGGTAGATCATACATGTTTTCCGTGCTCTATCACTTTCCTGTTGTCTTCTATTGTCCATTTTCTTACATGTTCCGTCTTTCTTTTATCTTCTTGCATCTGCATCATTTATCTTCCTGCACTGTTTCGTTGTGGTGTGTTTGACGTCTTGCCTCCGTGCTGTGCGTTGCCTGAGGCTCAAGCTCGGGCCGTGCGGCAGGGAGCGCAAAAGGAACTATCTGGCGATGCGCCTGTACCAGCGCCAGGAGCACCCGGACAAGATGGAGCCGGCGCGGCTGCGGCGCAAGCTCGGCCGGCTCCAGCTCAAGTACCGCACACAGCGCGAGACGCGCAAGGTCAAATGGAGTGAGTCACCTCGCACCAAATGGCAAAACCACAGAAAACACGGGACGATGCCATCCAGTCTGCTGTCCCATGGTCGCGTTTCACGTTACATTGTGCAGATCCTGCCTAATCATCGCGCATCAGTACAATGAGGCTGCGGTATTGTACATTAAACCAATAGAAACATCGTCAGATGTCTGGGGTGGCACGTCCGAAGACATACTGCACTCTACGTGTGACCTGTCAGTAGGCCGCCGCCATCACGGCCGGGCGGCCGGGCCGCGGTCGGCTCGGCCGATGGGCTGAGTCCGCGACGCCGGACCGCCGGGCCGCCGCCGGTCCGCCGCTCGACGTCCGCCGCCTGTGCCCCGCCAGCGCCGACCATGAAGCTGGCGCGCCCGATCACGAGCAGCCCGTACCTGCTGCGCTGCCTGCAGCGGCGGGCGGCGCTCATGGGCGTGGACCTGGACCAGGGCCAGCACGCGGCCGGCCAGCTCACCGACGTCAGCAAGAAGTGGCACCTGCCGCCGGCCTTCAGGTCAGATGGAGACCAGCAGCGCCGGCCGGCCGGCCGCACGCGCCGCCGCCACGACCGCGGCCGGTGCATGACTCAGATGCGTCCGTTTGGCCCCATCACAGGTCCTATGTAGCGTCTCGCTCTGCTGCTGCCTGCGAGGCGTGGCCATTATGCCAGTTGGTACATCGGATGGCTGGGTTTTCGCAGCGTCGGTTTTGAGGGGTATGCTCCTCGCATTCGATGGTCTGCCTCGACGGGAAAAGATGCCCCGTGCCCTGTGTTTGCCCTCTGGAGGCGAACATCGCCAGACCCCGCCGTAAACCCGTCTTATCGCCACGTGACGCCAGCTCTGTTATGCTGCAACGTACGAACTGCTTACACCATCAGCGTCGCCATTTCACGCCGACTGTAGCTGGAACGCGGAAACAGCCAACTGTCCGTCACGAGGCCACGCGCGACGTTAGCAGTGCGGAGTTCCCCGGACTGTGACTGCCCCGTGCTGAGCGAGCGCTGCGTCGGTGCCGGCTGAACTGGCGGTGTGTTGGCAGCGTGGAGTTTATCAGCTACTTCCTGGACCGCGGCCAGAGGATGGCCGCCATGACTCGCTCGCTGAAGGAGCTGATGACCGAGAAGGCCACCCTGCAGGAGCAGGAGAATCTGCTGCGCTCGCAGTACGCGGAGGTGAGGCTCTGCATGTGTCCGGGCCTCCGGCAGCTTGACTGCGTTGACAGTATGCTGAGGTGAGGCTCTGCGTGTGTCCGGGCCTTCGGCAGCTCGAGCTGCGCTCGCAGTACGCCAAGGTGAGGCTCTGCGTGTGTCCGGGCCTCCGGCAGCTTGACTGCGCTGGCAGTACGCTGAGGTGAGGCTCTGCGTGTGTCCGGGCCTTCGGCAGCTCGAGCTGCGCTCGCAGTACGCCAAGGTGAGGCTCTGCGTGTGTCCGGGCCTCCGGCAGCTCGAGCTGCGCTCGCAGTACGCCGAGGTGAGGCTCTGCGTGTGTCCGGGCCTTCGGCAGCTCGAGCTGCGCTCGCAGTACGCCAAGGTGAGGCTCTGCGTGTGTCCGGGCCTCCGGCAGCTCGAGCTGCGCTCGCAGTACGCCGAGGTGAGGCTCTGCGTGTGTCCGGGCCTCCGGCACCTCAAGCTGCTCTCGCAGTACGCCGAGGTGAGGTTCTGCATGTGTCCGGGCCTCACGACAGCAGGCACAGCTGCTTTATTTGAAAGCCCTGGGTGATCATTTTTTCCAGCAGGTCCCTGGTCAGGTCGGACAATAGAGAAAATGGCACTCAGGTTGATATGTAGGTGGATAACCAGACATCTCGAACGATTTGGCATAGCCACTTACTCGTGAGGCTTCTATTGACCCGCACGCGCAGCAAACAGCGCCCGATATGTGATCCACATGGCGCCAATGCTAGCGTAAATTTACGTCGCACTTCCCGAACGATATCCCTTTTTGTTACTTCAGGCTTGTCGCAGAGGTTCGTAGTTGGAGGCACATTCTGCCATTCAAGTTTTCGTGAAATCAAAGTTGTATAGGACATCGTGCAGGTGCTGCGCTCATGGGTGGGACGCAGCAGTTCGTGCAGTGTGTGCAGGCGAAGTTCATATGTAGGCGTGCTGCGGCCAGCGCGCGGTCTGTGGGACCTGTGCGCGCCTCCCAGTCAGCACCCTGCCGTCCTTGTGACACCCTCAGATGGAGTCGTCGCTGTCGACGCTGCGTCAGGCCGGGGACGAGATGCGCGCCGTGGGCCTGCGCCTGCACCGCCAGCTGGCCGGCCTCAGCGGCGGCAAGCTGAAGCTGCCACCGGCGCTGCTGCCGCCGCGGCTCCGCAAGGTGTCCGGCCGCGGCGCCGTGCACCGGCTCTCACCGGCCAAACCGGCCCTGCACGGTACGTCCCACGCTCGGCCGAACCGGCCCTGCACGGTACGTCCCACGCTCGGAGCCGGCCCTGCACAGTACGTCCCACGCTCGGCCGAACTGGCCCTCCACGGTACGTCCCACGCTCGGCCGAACCGGCCCTGCACGGTACGTCCCACGCTCGTCAGAACCGGAGCTTGCGGCACACCAGGACCTATTGCACCGCCGCAAGGTTCGTGTTTGGCACACAGCGAGTGTGGTGGCGCTGGGCGGGCGCCACCGCGCCAGTGCTGATGGCGGCCGCCGTGTCCGGCAGGCGGCAGCGCGCGGCTGACGCTGCACGAGTGCATCGAGTGCGGCGCCAGCAGCGGCCAACACCTGCTGGTGCTGTGCGACACGTGCCACCATCACTACCACCTGGGATGCCTGGAGCCGCCGCTGACGCGTATGCCGCGCAAGTCGAAGACGGCCGGCTGGGAGTGCTGGCGCTGCGCGGCGGCCGGCTCTCGCGCGCCCAGTCCGCAGCCGGCCGACCCGGCCCAGCCGCGCCGCCTGCGCAAGCCGGCCGCCGGCCGACCGGTGGGTGGCCGGGTCACGGCGCCGCTACAGCAGCGCTGCCCCGGTGTAACGCTGCGGTGGAGTGGTGGGAATGGTGCGAGCTGTCGTATTTTAGAGCCATGGCTCAGGGAATGGTTTATGTTTCGTTTTATACGCCTGGTTGACTGTCCTTGGCATTTGGTCTGTTGCCAGAACCAAGTACTACATGCTTTGGGTTGAGTGTTATCTTACATTTTGGCATACCCCTCCCTGGCTCTACGCGACACGGCGCGGGCCAGCCCTGCATCACCCGTCGAGCCGTCCTACCACAGTCCGCCGCAGACCGCTGACCGGAAGGACGCTCCTCTCGTGACCCTCTGACCGAGACGGCACTCCTCCCGTGACCCTCTGACCGGACCGGCACGTCTCCCGCCACTCTTTGACCTGAACGGCACGTCTCCCATGACCCTCTGACCGGTGCGGCACTCCTCATGTGACCCTCTGACGGGAACGGCACGTCTCCCATGACCCTCTGACCGGTGCGGCACTCCTGTGACCCTCTGACGGGAACGGCACGTCTCTCGTGGCCCTCTGACGGAACGGCACGTCTCCCGTGACCATCTGACCTGAACGACACGTCTCCCATGACCCTCTGACTGGTGCGGCACTCCTCCTGTGACCCTCTGACGGGAATGGCACGTCTCCCGGGACCCTCTGACCGGAACGGCACGTCTCCCGTGACCCTCTGACCGGAGCGCCGCCCGTCGCCAGGCGCCGGTGAAGCAGGAGCAGGTGGCGCCGGCGCCGGTCGCTCGAGGCCGCGGCCGCCGCCGGCCGCAGCCGCCGCAGCGTCGCTCCGTCTACCAGCGCAAGGACATCAAGCACCCGGGTGTCGGCCGGGGCAACGCGCCCAGGACCAAAGCGCAAGTTGGAGAAGGCGCAGGCCGCCGAACCGCCCGCTCTGCAGGTGGGCCAGATGTGTTCCTCCTCTGTATAGGTGATCAAGTATGCTTGATCGAATGGAAGGGGAAAGATGGACGAAGCTTTCCAACAGCATTGGCGTTATACTATGTGGTAGCTATTGCGTTTTACCGTGTGAGATTGGTAAGTAGCTGCTGTGTCAAACTCGTTCTCATACATTTTCATTTTTTAGGATGTGACTGAAGTCTAACCGGATTTAGACTCAACATACGCTTGGGGATCAAGCCCTGCGCTTATGATCTTCTGACTTCTGGCCCGTTTTTTATTTCGATCCTTTAATCAACCTTTTGTTTTGAAAAAGCTTCCCACGTAGGGTTGGTTCTCGGCTCCGTCTTGCAATTCACGTACCAAAATAGTTTCGAAAGATGTTTTGTCATTTTAAGCTTCTAAATGCCGGTAAGGCTGCCGCTGGACCTGGCCTAACCTCGATCGTTGGCTGGACCCGTTGCTGGGACCGGCTTGACCTCATCCGGTCCCGGCTCACCCGCAGACGTGCGGGTGGGCCGGGGCCGGGCCTCTGTGCGTCAGACGACACTTTTATTACGCAGCGCTCAAAACCACACGGGGCGGGCGGACATGCCGGCGCTCAGTGCCGTGCGGCCGCCTTCCCCGGTGTCAGCAGTCTGCCCCGGCGCCGGTGTCAGGCCCCCTGGAGCCGGCGAGCCGATCCTGGGGCCGCGATGGCTGTCGTACGCAGACGCCTCGACGAAGTTAGGGGGTTGGGTGGAGGGTAGGCAGTGCGGCTTCATAACTAATTGCGGAAACCAGTGCTTGACCGTCCCCTGCGCGTTTGGAAATAACCACGTGGTTACTTCCGCGTCCCTCCTCCCTTGCAGACTAGCGCACGCGGTGGTGGTAAAGAGAGTGTAAAAGACGACGACCTCATCATGTCCAAGTTCCTCACGCAGGTAAATCGATGTTGTGCTTGTCGCTCAAACGGGTCGCGTGCCACATTTCGTGTGGTTTCCGCAGCTTGGGAAGTCGCGTGCCTGAATCGCACCAGCGCCGCCGCTGACGACCGGCTGGGCCCGCAGACGGAGACGCCCTGCTCGTCCGTCGTCGTCATCGAGAAGCTGGACGAGACGATGGTGAAGCGGGAGCAACGCAGCCCGTCTCCGAAGCGGCGCCGGCCGGACACGGAGCCGGCCTGCCGGGGCCGCCGCCGCGCCGCTCCAGGTGACGCTGCCCGCCGCGCCCGCCGACCGGCCGCCGACGCTGTCGCCGGCCCGCGCGCGACGCTACGGCAGCATCGACACGACCATCGACGCCATCCTGGAGCAGGTGGGCGCCGACCCGGCCGGCGGGCCGCCCACGCCGCCGCCCTACGTGCACGGTCGGCGCGGTCGGCCGCCGCTGCTCGAGCCGCTGAAGGAGCATCGGCGGCGGCCGCGGGTCGGCCGGTCGCCGGGCTCACCCACCCGGCAGAAGGGGCCGGGAGTGCTCGCCCGCCCCCAGGGCCCGGGCGTGCGCGGCCGCGGCCGTGGCCGTGGCCGCCCTCTCAGTGTGGGCCGTGGCCGCGCGGTCGGCCGCGGCCGCATCAGTCGGGCCGACGGCGCCGCGCTCAGGCAGTTCCTGGCGCAGCGGCGCGCCGAGAAGCGCTCAGCAGCGGCGGCGGTCGGGGCCGCGCCGCCGCAGCCGCAGCCGCAGCCTGCCGGAGACGCGGACGCTGCCGAGGCCGGTCCGTCCGCTCCTGCCGCCGGAACCGGCGCGGCTGCTCCTCCGGCTGAGGCCGATCTGGCTGCTCCTCCCGCCGGGTCGGGTCCGGTGGCTCCTCCCGCCAGAGCCAGCGCCTCTGCGCCGCCCGCCGTCAAGGGGAAGGGCAGGCGCGGCCGGCCTCCCGGCCGAAAAACGCAAAAGGCGACCGCGGCTGGCGTTCCGTCCGCCGACGGTGCGGCCGGCCCCCCACAGAAGAAGAAGCCGCGGCGGCAGCAGCGCTCGAAGGCGAAGGTGCGGGCGGCCGAGCTGCTACTGACGCAGCTGGACGGGGACGGCGAGCCGGGCTCGGCCGCCGCCGCCGCCGGCGGCGGCGCTGACGAGCCGGCTTCAGAACCGGGCCCGCCGGCGCCGACCCGGCCGGCTCGCCAGCGGCGCACCAAGGCCGAGATGACGCTGTATCGTGAGCAGGTGCTGGCGCTGAAGCAGGCGCGCGAGCGGCACCACCAGCAGCGCCAGAAGCTGCTGCGCCGTCGCCGCCGCCAGGACGAGGGCCGCGAGCACGTGGTTGAGATGATGACGCCCATGAAGATGAAGGTGGGTGGCGGAACTCACGGAGCATGTGTGGAGAAGTGTTAAGCATTGGGTCGGTTGTGTTGTGGATTGTTTGTGGTAATTGCTGCATGGGACTGGTTTTGTGCGCCATGATTGGGTACTCATTGAGTCTGTTCATTATAAATTTTGGGTTGCAACCGAAGTAGGAATGTCTTTTCGGCCTCTTTAGTATGTAGGTTTAAGAACTATGACAAGCCTTAAATGAAGAACCACTTTTTCATGGCTGCGGCTATCTGTATACCAAGCGTAATATTTTGCACTATATGACGAACACAAATTCATCAGCCTACAAATTGTGAACTGTGTGAACAAGTGTGAACAATAAGTGAACTGTGACTATGTAATCACTTGACCGTGACATTGGCCATATATGACTTGCTATGTGCAGGATTGAACAGCGTTTTAGGCATTTCAGAAGCTAGCTTTGAATCGTTGATGTTACCCAGCATTGTCTATGCTTCCTGCATTGCTTGTTCGTCGTGTCATCCCCGGAAGCCACCGTTTTCCTGTTACCATGCGTAGGTATATGATCCAGTTCGCGCGACACTGACCCTCCTGCCCCATCCGCCCGTCCCCGACACTGATCGGTGTTGGCGTGCGCGCCGTCGACACAGATTCGCCCAGTGACGTCAGACGCAGCGTCTGCACCGGCGCCGACCGGGTCTGCCGCCGCCGCCGTCGCTGCCGCCGGGCCGTCGTCCGTCGGCGGCCGGCGGCAGGAGGCCTGCACCACACCCGCGCCCTGCTCCAACTGCGGCGGCCCAGGCGACGACAGGACCCTGGTCAGGTCAGTGACGGCGAGAAGACTGGCGGTCTGGGAAGGCCTTGCCCTGCTCCAGCTGGTGGAAGCTATTGATGGAATGGCAATGCGTAATTCAGTGGGAGTTCTCAGAAAGTATAACATACCCTGCACTGTGCTGCTGTTGCCAGATCTGATGGAAACTGGGTCAAGAAGAATTTGATCAAAATAGTTGAATGTTTTTTGCCATAATTTAAATCATTCAGATGTTCTGATCGACTATCATCGATGCCCACGTACTTGCTGCCGGTGTCTGTTGTGAGGCTGGCTGTGTACGGCCGGACGTCCTGTGCGGTCATGCCACCCCGGTCAGACGTCAGCGGGAAGGGGAGAAACGCATTTGAAAGCAATCAGAAATACTGTCCAGACAAGCGTGTGGGTCTGCGTGTCCTTATAGTATATCGTAAGCTCACCTGGTCGTCAACGATGCTGTACTGGAAAGTCATTCCATTATTGCTGGTACTTTGTTGTTCTGTTTTTATCTAAAAAAAAAGTCTGCAAAAGGCGTGCATACTACTGTCTGACACCATGGAAGGCGCAGTAGAATGCACCGATTACACACACACACACACACACACGCACGCACCACGCACGCACGCACGCAACGCACGCACGCACGCACGCACGCACGCAGAGAGAGAGAGAGAGAGAGAGAGAGAGAGAGAGAGAGAGAGAGAGAGAGAGAGAGAGAGAGAGAGAGAGAGAGAGAGAGAGAGAGAGAGAGAGAGAGAGAGAGAGAGAGAGAGAGAGAGAGAGAGAGAGAGAGAGAGAGAGAGAGAGAGAGAGAGAGAGAGAGAGAGAGAGAGAGAGAGAGATATATATATATATATATATATATATATATATATATATATATATAACGAAATCCCTCTGGGTATTGCGATAACACAGAAAAATAGATATGTCCATGACCATATTCACTTGTTTTGATGAGATGTTACTGGTGCATCACGATATGCGGCGCGGCCTGTACTGTGGATCTGCTCTGTAACAGACTGGCTCCGCTCCATACCCGGTCCGAGTATTCCCCAGCGTCGGGACCAGGCATTGTGTAATGCGTGTAAAGCCCCATTCGCCGCCGTAAAGCCGAGTCCGATCGTCACCACGTGCGGCGTGGTCAGCTGACACCGATGTGGGCCGCCGCAGGTGCGACGACTGTGCTCGGACCTACCACCTGAGCTGTCTAGTGCCGCCCGTCACCAAGTCACCGAAGCGACCCGGCTACGGCTGGCTGTGCGGCGACTGTGGCGCGGCCGCCCGGCGCGCCCGCGCCTCCGCCCCGGCTCCGACCCTGGAGAGGGCGGGCCCGCCCCAGGAGCAGGCGCCGCCACCGCCGACGACGCCGGCAGAGGAGGAAGAGGGGGAGAGGGCGGCCGAGCCACCGCCGACGGTCCGGCTGATTGAGGGCGCCCAGCCGGCGGATAAGGCTGGACCGGTAGAGACGGCCGAGCCAGCGCCAGCGGCGGCGGCCGATCCTGTGCCAGAGCCGGGGCCGGAGCCGGAGCCGGAGGCAGAGCCTGGGCGGGAGCCGGAGCCGGAGACAGTGTCGGTGCCGGAGCCGGAGTACAAGCCAGAGCCAGAGCCAGAGCGGGCGCCGAAGCCGGAGCCGGAGCCGGAGTCCTCCGGCAGAGTCGATACTGGCGGCGAGTGAGACAGCATGGGACTTGAGCGTGGCAGTGAGCTCGGGGAACCCTGATCGGCATTGGCGGCGGCGAGCAGGACAGAGCGGCCCGCGGAGGGGACGGAGCGGACCCGGCGACGGTGCGGATGTTCCGGCAGACGGACGGTGTAAGTGGCGCGGTTGTGCGTACCTCCGTCGTCCCTTGGCGCCGGCTGTTTGTGAACACACTGAGTCTGGTTGAATGTTTCGCGTCAATGACATCTCTTTTTTCGCACTTTGGCATGGTAATTGCCAAGCCAAGTACGAGTAAGAATTTGTCGTTTCCAAACATGCGCCTTATTTTGCCGAGTAGTGTGAATAGTGTTATTTTGCTCTCATTACCGAGTAGACGCGTTTTGTACAGTGTGGATGTCTTTTCTGTCATTTCTGTGAGGTGTCGCTGACTTTGACGTCAATACATGGAGAACTCCACCGGCATGTAAATGAGTCATCAGAACCTAACTCAGAGGGACACTGGCCATGTCAGATGCTTTATCGCTAGGCCGCGTTCAAAATGCCGCATTCTTGACCACGCCTAGACAACTGGTGTCGGATTCCGTAGCATACAATCCTTGTGGTTCAGCGTGATTCGTGGCGGATAGTGATGCCTTGCGGCGAGACCTGCCAGCGTTGGCCTGGCTGGCTTCCTCTACTGATGGCACGCGATCGCTGGTGTTTGACCAGCTCTCGTATTGCTGCCCTGAAGCAAAGTGCTATGTCGTTGTCAGACACGGCCTTCTCGCGCTGAGACACGGCAGCGGGCCTGGCCGCCGTCGCTGGGAGCGGCGGCCGACCGGTCCGCAGCCGGTCAGTGTCAGACACGGCCTTCTCGCGCTGAGACACGGCAGCGGGCCTGGCCGCCGTCGCTGGGAGCGGCGGCCGACCGGTCCGCAGCCGGCCAGTCTCAGACACGGCCTTCTCGCGCTGGGAGACGGCAGTGGGCCTGACCGCCGTCACTGGGGACGGCGGCCGACCGGTCCACAGCCGGCCGAGCTGTTTCGTCTGAACCCTGTCGGCGTCGACGGCCGACACCGGTGACGTCATAGAGGTGCAGGAGTGGAACCCTGGCGAGGAGCGACCCCTGCCCCCGTCCCGCCGACAGCTGCCAAGCGGGTAACGGTGCCGTCGCGCGGCCTGGTGTGCGGTGGCCGACTGGACCGGCTATCGCCAATCAGCACAACGGCACGTCAGCTGGTCACCACGTCGGGACTGGAGATTCATTACCGACTGTTGGTCCAATGGAAAATATTTTTCGACCGTTTACTGTTAAAAATTTGCTCTCTGGGCGACAGCAAAACCGATTTCCGACGTACGTTTGTAAGACATTGTGGAATTTCCGCCGCGTTTCTGGAGTGCACCGAAATCACGACATTGTTCGAACACGCCTCAAGTCCATTTTGGTCAAAAAACACTAATCCAAGATATAACTGAGCGATCGCACACCACAGGGCACTATCACCGGCTCTGCGATCGGGCCGGCGCCGGTTCCGTCCGCGGCGGCACCTGCGTCTCCAGTCTAGGCCGTCGGTCCTATTTATACCTGGCGCCCGGGCGCCGCCGCCACCGACGCCGGCGCGCCAGTGGGTGTCGAGTGTCGGTCCGGCGCGCCGCCATGGACGGGCCCGTCTGCGCCGGCCCCGAGTCGCCCGGCGACAACGCCTTCTCGACCTTCTACGATGGCCTGTGCGCGGAGCTGCGGGCGCTCGGTGTCGAGGCGTACCGCGCCGAGTTCGACGCGCTCGACACGGACCGCGAGCGGGTGGAGGCGGTGCTGCGGCTGCAGGCGGCCGCGCGCCTGCGCCTGCCCGCCGCCGGCGCCACCGGCAAAAGCGAGGAACAGGCGCGCCGCTTCCTCGAGATGGCAATGAACTGCACCGACTCGCAGCGCAAGCTTGTGCTGTGCAACACGGCGCTGCAGCACTGTCCGCTGGAGCTGGCGCAGCCGGCCCGGCTCAAGGACGGCTGCGTGCGCGACCTCTACCTGGCCGTGGCCATCAACCGACTGTGGACGCTTTACGAGCTGGGCAAGCTGGCGAGCGGGCTGGCTGAAGCCGAGCGGCTGCTGGCCGAGCCGGCGCTGGTCGCTGCCGTTGAGACGCACGTGCAGCTCCTGGTGGAGCGGGCCCGCTTCCAGACGGCGCTGGCGCGGCGCGACGAGGCAGAGGCGAGCGTGCGTCAGGCGCTGCAGATCGTGCGCCAGCTGGACCGCCAGCAGCAGGCCATGTACGCCGTGGAGCTGGGCACCATCCGCAAGCGGCTGGCCGGCGGCGAGGAGGCCGCCGAGGACGTCTCGCAGCCGCCGGCGCCGGAAACGCCGCGTCTCTTCGGCGGCCCGCACCCGCGGCTGCGGCGGGTGTCGGCCGCCCTGGACCTGGCCGTCGACGATCGGCGCGGACGCATGCTGGTCGCCAACACAGACATTCCGCCAGGTGAGCGCGGCGTCGGCCGGCCGCGCCTCGGACACCACGGCCGAGCTTGGCCGCTTGCCCGAGGTGTCCCCCGTTCATGCCAAGCGCTGTCGAGCCATTAGCGAACCGGAAACACGACTGACGTCTGGCGGCGATCGCTGCAGTGCTGCTTTTGCACCAGGGCCTCGATTTGGCGCCGTGCCCCGCAGTCATGCCAGCAATGCGCTCTCCCTTCTCGGTCTCCGTTCTTATGGTTATGTGGCAAATGCCGTTGAAGTTCAGATATAGGCTAAACAAGTTAGCATGTATGGACATCGGTAGCGTGTTGAGCATCACAAAGTCGCCGTGTGGGGCTGTACTGCTGTCGAACCGCTGCTTTGCTGGTCGGCCGGCGCCGTGACGTCACCTGTGGCCGCTGGCCGCAGGCTCGGCGCTGATCGCGGACGAGCCGTTCGCCTGGTCGCTGCACCCGCCTCGCTGGGTCACCCACTGCCAGAACTGCTGCCGGCCGGCCGACTGCCCGCTGCCCTGTCCCGACTGCGCATCGGTCAGTGCTGCTCCGGTGCCCGGCCTGCCCTCGTTGCCAGCAGCTCTGCCCCACTGGACCACGCGGAGGGTGCCCACTCTAGCCGGCTGTTCATTCCGTCGCAGAAAGATCCGCGTCCGACGAAACGCTACTACGTCTGCTACCTGTAAAGTTTAGTCATAAGCTTTACCAGATTACGAGTTGCAAGCGAGCTCCAGGCAAGATGTAAACAAAGAACAGTGCCTGCTATCTTTTGTAAACGGCGCCGTGTGTCCTCCAGCCCGCCGTCACAAAACAACCTCGTCATGCTGTGGCGCGTTTCAACATCACTGGATTTCAATCAGACCTGTGGTAACTATATTTCTGGATCGTTGTTAGCTAAAACTGCGTGTGTGCGCGCGTCTTCCGTTTCGGATCAACGATCAATTCATTGTGGCCTTAAGAGCCCACTAAGAGCCCACTAAGAGCTCTTTAGGTCACACCAGATCAGTCTGCCTTCTGACACGTGTCCACCCGCCCTGACCAGCCCGTGGTCTGAGAGCCTTCTGCGACGGCCGCCAGGTGCTATTCTGCAGCGAGTCCTGCCGCTCCGAGGCGCTGCACCTTTTCCACGGCACAGAGTGCGGCGTGCTCGATCTGCTGATCGACCCCAACTTGGGCCGCATGGCGCTGCTCGTGTTCCGCGTGCTGGCGCGCGCCGGTCCCGACACCCTGCGCCTCCACTTCGAGCCGCCGGCACCGCCGGCGCCCGACGCGCCGCACGACTCGCTCAGCTACGCCGCCGTGTACAGCCAGGTGACCAACACAGCCGACCGGCCCATGGGCGACGTGGTGAAGCGGTGTGCCGTGGCGCTCTACCTGACCGCCTGCCTGGAACGGACCGGCGCGGTGGCGGCCGCCGAGCGCGCGCCCACGGCCGCGCTGGCCCTGCGCCACCTGCAGAGCTGCTCTTGCAACGCGTACGAGGTGACCGAGCTGCGGCTGGCCGGCGGCGGCGTGCGGCTGGCCGAGTTCGAGGAGCTGGGCGGCGCCGTTTACGCGGCCGTCAGCCTGGCAAACCACAGCTGCTTCCCGAACGCGGTGCGCGCCAGCCATGGCCGCCGCCTGGCCGTCACCAGCACGCGGCCGCTGCGCGCCGGCGACGAGCTGCTCGACAACTACGGCTTCCACTTCCACGAGGAGGACGAAACTAGCCGGTACGCGGCGCTGCGTCGCCAGTACCAATTCGCCTGCGAGTGCGCCGCCTGCGAGCAGGGCTGGCCGCTGTACGCCGAGCTGGCCGACGGCGAGCCGCCGTCAGAGGCGCAGCGGCGCGCCGTCGAGCTGCTCGTACTCGGCCGGTACGCGGCGGCGGCCGAGGCGCTGGTGCCCGTGGTGGCGGCCGACGGCGCCGGCGAGCGTGACGCGCCGCCCGACAAGCAGACCGTGCAGCGCCAGAGTCTGCTGGCGCGCTGCATCCAGAGCGGCGGCAACGTGCGCAGCGAGTGAGGCTCCCGCGGGGCCGAGCGGCACGCTGCGCGGACTGCGGAGCGCAGCGGCCGGCTCGCTCCCCAGCAAGCGTAGTCTCGGAGCCTAGCGCCGGCGACGCCTGTAAACCGTTCTGTGAACGCGAAAGGCTTCAGCCAGGCGTGGGTGTCTGGTTACGTGTTACACAGCAGACAAATCACAATAAGTATATTTGAAAACGTTCGGTTAATAAAACTAACAACGCGCGCCATGGTCGATTCATGCGGATGATAGATGATGCAGGTACTCAACAATTGCTTCAATGGTAAATGATGCCGAGCCGGTCTCTGGACGAGCTAGACCGCGTCGCTGCTTGTGCAGCGACTCGCCGCCCCGGCCAGGTCATTGATGGCCACTGCCGTCTTTCGACGGCGGCGTGAGCGGCAGGCGGGCCAGACGAGCCAGCAGCTCCTCCCCGGAAGACGGCCGCCGCCCGGTCGGCGCTGGCTCGGGCCGGCCGGTCACCTCGCGCGGGAAGATGTAGTTGAGGTCGCGTCGGATGCGCTCGAGCGAGGCCAGCGGGTTGTCACCGGAGGGGAGCAGCGGCGACACGCCGCGACCCGTCGTGGCGCCACTGTCCGGCCGGCCCAGCGACGAGACGCTGCCGCCGCCCAGCCCGGCCGCTCGGACGGGCGCCCCGCCTCCGTACGACACCGGGCCACCACCGTCCTGCCGTCCGGGGTACAGCTGTGGCCCGCTCTGGGACCGTGAGGGGTACCACTGCGGTCCAACATCCTGCCGGTCCGGATACAGCTGAGGTCCGCTCCCCAATCGAACGGAGTGGCCGTGCGCGCCGCCGTCGGCCGGCGGGGCGGCCGCCAGCCGGGCGCCGGCCGAGGCGGGCCGGCGTGGGTTCAGCACGTGGGAGCGGTAGGTGGGCGGCTCGGGCGGCTCCGGCGGGGGCGCCAGCCCGCCGCCGGCCGGCTGGCACCGCTCCACCACCAGCGTTAGCTCCTGGCGCAGCTGCGACACGGTCCGCTGGAAGCCCGACACGCCGTGCAGCAGCCGGCCCAGCTCCTCGCCGTTGACGTCCGTCTGCGCGGCAGCAGAGGCGCGCGCCGGCGCCGGCCGCCGCGCCGCGCCCTCGCGCGCCAACATCACCTTCTCTTTCATCTTGCCGACGGCCACGCGGTACTCGGCCTCGAGGCGGCGGAACTCGGCATCGTAGTGCTGCTCGCGCTCCTTGACGTAGCCGTGGTAGGCGCGCAGCTTCTCCTTGCTGGCGCGCAGCTTGTCGCGCAGGTCCGTGGCCTCAGCGTCGGCCTGCTGTTGGCGCGACTCGAGCTCTGTCAGCCGGGCGCGCAGCTCCTCGCCGCCGTCCAGCTCGGCCGCCAGCTGCCGCACCTGTGCCCAGCGGGGCACGGATCAGGCGGACACATCACAGGCCGGGACAAGGGCTAGCCAAAGACGACACAGACTGACAGACACCCCGACCGATGGACGTCAACACCGCATGGCCCCTCGTAATGAAGGGCGTGATGGAGACCATTAGGGTGCCAAAGGTGACAAATACAGACGACCCTGACAACAAAGTTCATTCACCCCACGACGTCAAACACCAGTCGGCCAGTGCGGCCAGTCGCCGGTCACTAGCCGCACATAGGGACTGGGTCGTCGTTGTGACATCAGCAAGGGTAGACTGTGCCGCATTACGAGTCTCGCCGTGTTATGTGTAGCTATTAGTCACAGCCGAGGAACAGACACCGCCTCTAACAAAGTACCCTTATGGCGTTATTTATGGCTCTGGCCTCAGCCCAACTTGGTTGCGTGATTCCATACTTCCTTTAAGTTTCATTTTCAGTGCCTCACCCGCATGGTAAATGCGGCATTTACATCAGACAGTTCCAAATATTGCAAAGCGATTCCGCTCTTCGATTGTTTTCTTTGCCTACTATAAGTGCCCTTGCCCCTTGAAAGGTGTCATACGTTTGCCGCTAGTTTTTCATTGCATAATTTCCGTTGCATGACGTCGGAATCACTTTCAGTTGAAGGTAGCACATAAGCCGAACCGCCTGTTGCCGGGTTGGTTCTGAAGGTCACTCGACTAGGAAGACTCAATCAAGACTTGCTGGTGCTGCTGGTACGTTTAGACACTAGTGTGGAGTGGGTTTTGGCAAATATAAAATCTAGAGTAAGATTTCTCTTTGACTGACCCCCACGGACCGATACGGGCGACCTTGACACTCGTGTATCCCGCCAAGCAGTTGTAAACCAGCTACACCGGCCGCACCCGAGCATGGCTCTTGGACTTGAGCCAGTGAAGGTGCACCACGACACGGAATACTGAAGCACGTACGCAGTGACAGAGCCAGGATGGGGGGGGGGGGGAGGGGGCGGCAACTGAGCAGGACGAACAATGACTGACGGGGATACAGCCACAACTATCAACCAGATTAGCCCTGAAGTCATAATTTGACAAACGCCGAGTCGCTTGCTATGACATGACGCTAAATGGTCGCCGCTTGACGTTAGCGAATCATCCACGGAATAAGTCAGTTCCCATGCCCCACTACATACATGAGAGCACTAGGTTCCCATAGAGGCAGGACCGCCTCTATGTGTGCAGCCGCCATCTCCCATGCCAGCCGCACTCCGTCGACGGCCACCGTCTCCCACACCAGCCCCACTCCGTCAGCGGCCGCCGTCTCCCACACCAGCCCCACTCCGCCAGCAGCCGCCGTTTCCCACACCAGCCCCATTCGGCCAGCAGCCGCCGTCTCCCACACCAGCCCCACTCGGCCAGCGGCCGCCGTCTCCCACACCAGCCCCACTCGGCCAGCGGCCGCCATCTCCCACACCAGCCCCACTCCGTCAGCAGCCGCCGTCTCCCACACTAGCCTCACTCCTCCAGCGGCCCTCACCTGCTGTTCGTAGTTTTCCCTGTCGGCCTGCCGCTGCGCCAGGGCGTTGTCGTAGCTCTCAGCCAGGCGGGCGTTGTCGGCCGCGAGCCGGGCGTTCTCCTGCCGCAGCAGCTCGGTGTCGGCGGCCGCCTGCCGGCGCAGCTCCTCCTCGGCCTTGGTCAGCTCGGCCACCTGGCACCAGTATAGATCATGGGTCGGGAGTCGGGACAAGAGGTGCGAGACACCCGTCACAGACACTGGTCAGCTAGGCCACCTGGCACCAGTATAGATCATGGGTCGGGAGTCGGGACAAGAGGTGCGAGACACCCCTCACAGACACTGGTCAGCTAGGCCACCTGGCACCAGTATAGATCATGGGTCGGGAGCCGGCACAAGAGGTGCGAGACACCCGTCCCAGGCACTGGTCACCTTGACCACCTGGCGAGAACGCAGGAGGATCGATGAGGTCTCGTTGATCGTGGCGCTCATTTTCCGCCGTTGACCGAGGTTCAGCAATGGACACACGAGGAAAATGCCGTGTTATGTCAAATACGTGACCGTTGCTGCCGCGTTGGACAATGACGGAAAGAATCCACGATTCGCAAGGTAACAAAACAGCTTGGAAACACACAAGCCATTGAAAAGTATGAACTGGGAGCAAACCCCACATGATATAAGGCACCTGCCCCATCTCCGGGACACTCGTCTGAGCAGCCAGTTCTGTCCTGCACTCCTGGTGTTCCCTGGTACTCGTCCCTCACGCACGATATAAGGCACCTGCCCCATCTCCGGGACACTCGTCTGAGCAGCCAGTTCTGTCCTGCACTCCTGGTGTTCCCTGGTACTCGTCCCTCACGCTGTCATCTTTCGGCCGGCGGTAACTGGCCCCGCATCCTATGCCCCACGCCGCCCAGCTCCGGGCTTCGTCTCCTATGCACCTCACACTGTTTCCAGGTGGTCGGGCAGCTATTCCTATATTTCCTGCGTGGGCCCGGTAACCGACCCATCCCTCTGCGCCTCCCGCCGTTCTCCGCGATCCCGGCCGTCGCTCCCGTGCCTCACGTTGTTCTCGATGAGGGCGCGGTAGCTGGCCAGGCCGCGCTGGTAGCCCTCCTCGCTCTCCTGCAGGCGCCTCTCGTGCTCTGCCTTCAAGCGCTCGGTCTCGGCGCGCAGCCGCTCACACTCGGCCGTCAGCTGGTCGGCCGTCAGCTGACTGCGGCGCGTAGTGACGACGGCGGCCGCTAGGCGGCGGTCCTCCTCCAGTGCCAGCCGCAGCCGGGTCTCATACGTCGTGACCAGCTCCTCCTGACACCGCCGCCCGCGGTTACCAATGCCAGGCGTGTAGTACGGGTCACAGGTGCCAAACAACAGTGCACGCAGGGCAACCTAGTGCAATGTTAGCGATGAAGTCACGCGTCCTGAGTGTCTACACTAAGCTGCCAACCATAAATGCAGCCGTGTAATGTAAAAACACAATAATCAAACAACGATGAAACTGCAATTATCTGTCCGACCCCCCTGACAACGCAACCACCACACACCCTAGAGCGGTGACCTGAACATCACCGCCGCCGCACGGTGAGTGCGAGCCTTGTCACGTGCCCCCCCCCCCCCCCCCACCCCACCTCCCTCCCCGCCCCAGCAGTACTCGGCCGGCCCACCTTCTCGACACTGGTCTGCTGCGTCAGCTTCTGCAGCTGGGCGTGCGTCTGCTCCAGCTCCTGGCGCAGCCGCCGCACCAGCTCGCTGTCGGTGCCGCCCGAGGAGCGGCGCTTGAGCTCGCGCAGCTTCCGGTCCGCCTCGGCCCGCTCCTGCCGGATGGGACGGCTCGTGACGGGGTGGCTCGTGATGGGATAGCTCGTGACAGGGTGGCTGGTGACGGGACGGCTCGTGACGGGGAACGGCTGGTGACGGGACGGTTCGTGACGGGGAACGGTTGGTGACGGGACGGCTCGTAACAGGGAACGGCTCGTGACGGGACGGCTCGGCGCGCCCTCCGTCCAGTCCGCGGCTGACAAGGTCGCGGACATGCTCAGTTTGCCGTCAGGATTCAACCCAACGCCGGAAGAACATCGGTATTGATACGAGCTCCAAGCAAGGTTGGACGGTTCGACGGACCTCTTGAAATGACTAAATAGGGCTGAGTACCTTTTTCATCCTATCTTCGTGCTCGCATGCAGATTGCTTAATGTGCTCTTGCAAACTCTGCACGTCCGACTCCAGCTTTCTCTTGTCCAGGCATGCACGCTTCAGCTTCTGGACATCCATGCAAATACAGCGACACCGTAAGCAGTAGCGAAACAATGCGCCACAGGCGACCGACGACGGGGTCCACACTGATAATGCAGAGGTGGCCGACGGAACCAGCGTTGGGACGGGGGCGGCGCTAGCAAAAAAAAAACAAAACGGAATGGGACAAAACAGGACGCGGATCAGCACGAAGACAGTACCAAATCACACACCGGAAACTCGCCTTAAATGCGCAGTAAACCAATGTTTGTACAACACAAATCAGCTGGGTCTCCTTATGCAAATAACCATGATGAATGACAGGCCGATTAGCGATGCCGTAGCTAGTACATTCATCAATTCGTAACACATGCTTTCCGCTAGTAGTGCGAAACCTGACATAAAATCAACGTGTCTTCCTCTCTCTCTCTCTCCTCAAGAACTGGAGCCTTATGGTCAAGTCTAGCTATCAGCTGGCACACACCAATGTGCGTGCCCGACAGCGGGCGCGCTCATGCACCGACCACCCTGCGCAAAGCCCGGAGACTCCGCTCCGGCCGACCGCCCACGGCCCGGGGCCTCCGCCGCCGCCGCCCGCCGCCGTTACCTTCTTCAGCTTGTCGAGGTGCTGGGCGGACGTCTCGTCGTCCGACTGGACGGCCTTGTGCTGCGTGTGGGGCGCAGTCGGCGGCGGCGGGGCGGGCTGCCGCGGGCTGGTCTGGGTGGCGCTGACCACGGCCGCCGGCGCGCAGGTCTGTGTTGTGGCGCTGCCCACCTGGTGGAAAGGCACGGCAGTGCCATAGTCCGATATCAACAGACAAGACACAATGTGACGATCAGTGTGGGTACGGCTGCCGAGCGACAACCCCAGCCACCCATTCGACGGACCCAGCCATCCCCTCGACAGATCACAGCCATGTCCTCGACAGACCCCAGCCATGTCCTCGACTACCCCAGCTATCCGCTCGACGCACCCAGCAATTCCCTCGACAGATCCCACCCATCCCTTCAACAGACCCCAGCTATCCCCTGGACCGACCCAAGCCACCCCCTCTGCAGACCCCAGTCATTTCCTCGACCGATCCCAGCCGTCCCCCTAGACGGATTTCAGCCATCCCTCTCGGCTGACCCAGCCGTCCCAGCCGTCCCAGCCGCCTGTACAGACCCAGCCGTGCCTTCCAGACTGACCTCGACCTTCTGCCGGCGTCGCTCGGCCTCCACGGCTTCGGCGACGGCCGCCTGCTGGCTGACCCTCCAGTCGGCGTACCAGAGGTCGTAGTGGTGGTCCAGCGCAGTCTTCACCGCCCGCTCACGCTCGCCCACCGACGCCTTCCGCTCTGAAGAGGTCAGTGTCACACACGATAATAAAGCCGCCGTCGACACGCCATATCATGGCCGTGCTTTTTCATTGTTTTTGTGCGGTACAACTTTGCGCCGTCCAATACTGCTACCCATAAACGTTATATTTCGTTGACTACACTTCAGCAGTCCTTACTAGCGTCAATCACGAATAAGATGAATAGGCACTACGAGAGCGGATCAATAAATCACAATTTAGAGCAAAACCGGCATGTCCTCGCCTCTTCGATGCTCTACAACAATGCCAAATGGAAATGAGCTTACCCTCGTTCGTTTTCTCCTCCAACTGATCCTTTTCTTGACACACCTTGACATACAGCTCTTTAACATCGTGCAACTCCTCTTGGGTACGGGCAAGGTCCGCCCTGAGAAACAAACGTGCAAGACAACTGACGGCACGGGAACACAACCAAGACAGAAAGGAATAAAAGACAATCTCCAACAAAGGATTAGTGGATCCAACGAAAAATAAAAAGCCCGAATTCATGCTCGGAATAACTGTCATGTCAATGGCGACACAAGAATAACAACATAACACATGGCTCAAAAAGCATGGTGCAGCAGGACCCGGCAACAGCAAGCCAGCAGCGTTGGCGGAAGCCGCCGTGCCCGCGGACCAACCTGACGCTGCCCAGCTCAGCCTCGTACTCCTCGACCTTCTCGGAGCGCAGCTTGTTCATCATGTCGTCGTGCAGCTGGAGACAGGCCTGGCGGACCTCCTCCACAGCCTGGAGGCGCGCCCTGTCGGCCTGCTCCACCTGCTCGGCCAGGTGACGCCGCAGCTCCTCCGCCGTCTGCCCCGTACACACACAGCCGATCAGCCGGCGGTCAGCCCGCCAAACAGGGCTTAGCACCCCACTCGACAGCTTTAACCCTCAATTCCCCTTAGATTAATATCAACATCCTAACATTTACATATACAACTTACAGGCACTATGCCAATACTGCAGGACACAGCAATACCATCACACAATCATTACCACATCATTACATAGCACATCATCATTACGCACATCACGTCACATAAATCCCACGTTTTCGACCACACCCCGTCTCTCGACAGGCAAGTTTGGTGGCTCGAAAATGATCTCTCCCCCTCCACCCTCACATCCCTTCACCCTTTGACACAACACATATCCCTGTTGGTGCTCTGCTTTGGTTTTTTCGTCCTTGTGTCATGGTTTGATTTGAACGTTACTGTGCGAGGTCTCGCTATTCTGCTCTAAATTCGCACATTGATCGTGTGTGTGCAGTTAACCATTCACATTCTAGGTAGCGCTTTAAAGTGCACTTAAGACCTGATGATGATGATGATTGGGGTTTTAGGGCGGGTCGACTTCCAGGGTCATAATAACTTGGTTTCACACCATGATCAAACGCCTTGCACGTTACGATGTATGCATGGCGGTCATTGACAATGCCAAATAAGGCACATTCCATGACATTCCATGACATTACTTGGCCTGATATTCCATTTCTGAAATATGTGTGCCCATATCTGCCTTACTGATTGAGTCATATAAGACGTAAGGTATTGTATCCGTTGCATTACAGTAAGGGCAAGCTGGCCTTGCTTTCCCAATTACATAAGCTGTTAAATGCATTTGTGAGGAACATTGCACATATAGATAAGGCAGCACTGTTAGCCTTATTCCTCTTAGTTATTCATCCAATAAAAGCATGCAAGCCAAAATATAAATACGTCTATCTTTCCTTCCCCCTGGTTATTCTACAAGGAATAAGGCAAACTTTCCTGACGCACAAACATCGCCTGGTACGATAATGATGATGCGGGATTACGCATACTGGAGATTCGTCGTCTCATGCAACAATACGGAACTTCAAACATTTTCCATCAATTTTCCGCATCATATCTTTCTTACTCTCATCTCGACAGGGCCTTTGGACCGATTCCACCGAGTTCAGCCAGGTAAAAACCAGTTGCGTAGTTTCGTGATTTTCCATTTTCAGGCTCAGCAGTTATTGTACACGATTATGTACAAGTCTTGCAATGCAATCACCGTTGTACCAATACCCAGCAGCAAGAAATGGCGTAAGCGACAGCCGCCGTAGGAAGAAAGCGACATAATTACACGTGGGTCACCTGCTCTCTGCAGCATATACATCAGCATCGTTTAGATCCCGATCATGATCACGTCAGTCAAGCCCGAAGGCGTGCCGTATTCTTGGGTGATGTTCGTCTCACCTTGTGCAGCTTCTCGCCCTCGTGGCGGATCTTCTTCAGCTGCTCCTCGGCCAGTTTGCGCTGCTTCTGCTCGGCGGCCAGCTGCCGCTCCAGCTCTGCCACCTTCTCAGCCGGCTGTCCCGGCTGGCCGGCAGGCGCCAGCTGCTGCACCTGTCCAGCGCATGCGTACCAGTGGCGGTCAGGTCGTCACAGGGTCCCCACTCAGCGCTGACCGAGCACGGACTGACGTCCACGGCGGTGGAGGCAAATGGACCGTGTGGAAGCATGGTGATCTCAGGCGCCTGTCAGCCGGCTCCAGCCATGCATGTAACACAATGGAACAGCAGCAGCGTTACAGACGGGCCGGAAACAACAGCCATCTGACAAACAAGCCCTAAACCTGAAAAACGTCCTAACGTCCCAATGCCAGCGCACAAGTTACGAGCAGCACTCTTGCCCCGGTCCTGCCACTCTCTCCCTCTGACCTGATCCTTGAGGACGGCCAGCTGCGCATCACGCTCTTCCAGCTGCCGGCGCGCCAGCTCCAGCTGCTGCTGGGCGTCCGCCAGCTGCGGCCGCAAACGAGTAACCTCCTCGCGGCGGGCGCGTGTGTTCTCCAGAGAGCGGACCAACTCGCGGCGCAGCGAGAACGGCGCCGACTCCCCGCCAGAGGACGTCCTGAGGCCGACACACCGTCAGGGGCGGCGTCAGGCCGACACACCGTCAGGGGCGGCGTCAGGCCGACACACCGTCAGGGGCGGCGTCAGGCCGACACACCGTCAGGGGCGGCGTCAGGCCGACACACCGTCAGGGGCGGCGTCAGGCCGACACACCGTCAGGGGCGGCATCAGACGGACACACCCTCAGGGGCGGCATCAGACGGACACACCGTCAGGGGCGGCATCAGACGGACACACCGTCAGGGGCGGCGTCAGACCGACACACCGTCAGGGGCGGCGTCAGGCGGACACACCGTCAGGAGCGGCGTCAGGCCGACACACCGTCAGGGCATCAACATCTGCACCAGTCATCGAGGCACACAGGCACTCTGGCAGCCTCCATTACACGTCCCTGTAAGGAGATCTTTCCATCAGACTGCTAGGCAAACTTCGAGAGATCATTACGAGGTAGCAGTCAGGGAATGCAGCGATGATGATGATGATGATGATGATGATGATGACTGGGGTTTTAGGGCGCCAATCAGTATCAGATATATCAGATAATCAGAGGTAGCAGTCAGGGAATGCAGTGAACCAATGTCACAGCCCATCGTCAGAAAACAGGGATGGGAACCACTATCAGACAATATTCAAACATCACTCGGTGACCCCGCCAGCCACGCAGCCGTCACTGCCTCCGTAGCGCCGTGGATGGAGCGCCTCTCCGCGTCACCCCCCGGCTGCACGCGATGTGCCCCAGGCGACGATTGTGACGGCCTTGGCCCACCTCACCTGGCCGCCTGCGGGGTGGACTGGGCTGTCGCCGCCACGCCCAGCTGGAAGGCGTCGGCGGCCGGCTCCTCCGTACCGCCCAGTCGCAGCACCGACTCGCAGGCGTCCAGGTCACGCTGAAGGTTCGCCAGCTGTTCCTGAGGGGCCAACCGAGCGGCGAGTCAGCTGATGGGGGACAGCACGAGGTGCGACAGCCATCTCCCAGTTGATCTAAGACGGCACGGAAGCATCACATTTCACCTCGCAAAGGTAAACATCCGTTAAAGACGCGAAAAGTCAGAAACATGTCCATCTTCGACGGATCAATGCCCAAGAATCGTGAATGACATTAATATACACACTAAAGCAGCAAAAATAAGTTAGGGAACACCATAAACCCCCACCTTAGCCGTGGCCAGCTGCTGCTCGGTCTGTAGCCGGCGGGTCTCCTCGGCAGCCAGCTGTTGGCGCAGCTGCGCAGCGTCACCCTGCATCAGCTGGCGGCAGCGGCTCTGCGCCGCCTCCAGGCCGGACGTCAGCTGGTTGATGATGTCACCCTTGTCGGCGGCCAGCCGGTGCCGGTCCTGCTCCGACTCGGTCAGCTGCGACTGCAGGCTGGCCGCCAGCTCCGTCTGGGGGCGGGCGCGGCGACAGCTCCCGTCAGGAGACCGCCGAGCTGACAGCCGACCGGGGACGTGTCCAATAGTGAAGGCCACAGGCCACTCGTCGACGGGCGCACGGGGTGTCATGACGACATGACGACATCGACATGACGTTCTGCCTGTATGACATTCTGCTCTTCAATACATAAAACAGACATACATGCACTTCAACAAATACACTGGATTGGCCCCAAGCTGACTTCACTCAGCTACACTAGCCAGCGCTCATGTTACACAACAGGTCAGCACACATGCCACACAACAGGCTAGCACTCATGCCACAAACCAGGCCAGCACTCATGCCGCATAACAGATCAGCACTCAGGCCACATAGCAGGCCAGCATTCGTGCCATACAACAGGTCAGCACTCATGCAACACAACATGCCAGCATTCATGAAACACAACAGGACAGCGCTCATGCTATGTGTTGTGCCCGCGTTCGTTCTCGTTTTTACTAGTTCAAAAAGTCAACGTCCGTGTTCAAAAATCTCTTGTTGTTATTCCAAACACCAGCCAATCTCCAATCTCAGCAACTCTCACCACACCCGTATCCTCCGGCCGCCACCCGCTAACCCCCAGCGGGGCGCGCACTCCCGCGCCCGCCGGAACTGCTCAGCTGATCACACAACTCCCCTGCCCGCAGGAACTGCTCAGCTAGGCCCCGACCGTTACATATGCAACAGGCCAGCGCTCATGCTGCGCAATAGGTCAGCACTCACGCCACACAACAGGCAGCATTCATCCAACAATACAGGTCAGCAATAGTGCCAAACAGCAGGCCAGTGCTCATGCCACACAAGAGGTCGATGCTCATGCCACACAAGAGGTAGGCACTCATGCCACACAACAGGTCGGCATTCACGCCAAAGATCAGGTCAAGCCTGGCGAACAAAGCGGCTGGCAGCGCCCGGCTGGCTGCGGCTGGCCGTTCTCACCTGGCGGGTGAGCTGGGCAGTGAGCTGGTCCAGCTGCAGCTGCCGCTCAGCCAGCTCCTGCTCGTGTCGCCGCTGCAGGCCGTCCACCAGCTGCTGGTGGCGCTGCGTGTTACGCGCCAGCGCCTCGGAGCGTTGCAGCTCGGCCAGCTGAGTCTGCAGGCTGGCGACGGTCACCTCGGACGCCTGCAGGCGGCCTGTTTGCTGCCGACAGCGGGGCGACCAGAGTCAGGCCGCGCACGAACGCGCACACGCGACGCAGCCGGCCTGCCACAGCCAGCACTGGTGCTAGCCGCACTTCTCACCATTTCATGAAAATGGCACGGCTCCAACTAGAATCGGAGACCATCAAAAGACACAGAAAGCGCTGCGAGATATCACGGACGAACGGCAGACGTCATTCGAACGCGTAGAACGTAAGTAAACATAAAGTAGAAGCACAGTTAGCCTTATAATGGAAGCCACATCCAACCACGCACCAAATTATGACATTCGGCCAGACACGCACCTCCTTTTTCGCTTCCTCCGATGCCTGCAGTTGAATTCTGAGGGAATCTGTTTCTCCTTTCAGCTGACTAACCAGTGCCTCTTTTTCCACTGTAAAGTCGAGAGGCGTTACTAGTGGTAAAATCAGTTACACGCTTATAAAACAAAACCCTCGTAATAGAAGCTATTAAGTTATTTGAGATAATGCGAGATTATTAGAGAAGCTGGATACCACCATGCCAGTGTGTGGCTCACGCTTATAGAACAAAACCCTCGTAATAAAAGCTGTTAAGTTATTTGAGATAATGCAATATTATTAGAGAAGCTGGATACCACTATTTCTCCATGTGTGTGGCGAAGTGTATATGTAATAGCCTCATAATGGAACAAATACACACATACGAAAGGCTACAGTTGTTCAACTGTCGTACATCATACGGTATCTCTGCCCCTGTCTGTGCGTACCGAGCAAGCTGCGGGCCTGCTGCAGGCTGACTTCCAGGCCCTGGCGGTCAGCGGCCGCCAGCGCCGCCTGGTGGCGCGCGGTGCGCAGCTCGGCGGCCGTGTCGCTGCGTACCCGCTCCGCCTCGGCCCGCAGCCGGCCGATCTCGTGACCCCGCGCCTCGTACAGCGTCTCCAGCTGGTCCCGAGACGAGCGCGCTGGCGACGGCCGGCCGACATCAGCACCGCCGGCGCACAACTCGACCACGACGGCACGGCACGCGGGCCCCCACAAAATATCCGTCGCGGGCGTTCACTCAAGCGAACCGCGGCTCTTCGTCGCACGTTCCAGTTTGCGGAAAACAACAGCAGCGCAACGCAGCCATTCGCAAGCAAGGCGACCGAAGAGCACCATCCTGCAAATACGAGGTGTATCGTAAGCAGCGACGCAGCCCCGACATCCACTGTCCTGCCTCCGCGGCACTCACCCAGTATGTAGTCCTTCTGCTTGTTGGCCACGTACTTGCCGGGGTCCAGCCGCTCTGGCCGGTCCCCGCCCCAGTCGGCCTCGTGGGCCTTCAGACCCATCTCGATCATGTTGCCGCTGCTGGCGTCTTCGTCGGCGGCGTCGCCCGACGTCGCCAGCTCGTTACGTGGACTGGTTGTAACAGTGTCGGTAGTGGGCGGCCGAGGTGTCCGTGCCTGCCAGCCGACCGGCTGGTATCAACGGTGAGAGACGGAGGCGGACGAAACCGGGACCGGTGACGCAAACGTCAGACACGCTCCGCAAGTCTATGCGGTCTTGGTCGGACGCGCTCCGCAACTCTAGACGGTCTTGGTCAGACACGCCGGAGAGGTTCAGACAGCGGGCGTTCGACACGCTTAAGGCAGGCGGCCGCTGCAAGTCTGAGATTCAAACTCAGGAACTACGGCCAGTCCCCGCACAACGCGCTGCAGCAACACTGACAGTTCGGATCACAAGAGCCGCGACAGACAGACCCGGCCCGAGTCCACCGCGATCGAAAAACCCACCGGAGCCGGACAAGAGTCGAGGCGGCCGCTGCAGCACGGCCCCGCTGCAGGCCATATAGCAGTTCCCCGCATGGCTTCATGCAGCTGCATGATGGCGATGTGCAATTTATTGACATCAAGTATTCACGAAGTAAAAGGGCTCAGAGCGTTGCCTAAGAAAACAGCGATCACTCGTGTACTCGCTAAGTGAAGGTCATTAGCCTCACCACCCCTAGTGACAGTTGGAAGTCTCGTGTAGCGCACCAGATCCCCATCTTTGCAGAATGAGCTCCAAATCCCACCAGTCATTTCCGTCCCCCACCCCCTCCCCATCACAATGGTCATCCTTCACAGGGGATAGGACCGGAAAACAAACAACCCACGATGCAAGTGGTCGCCCTTGTCAGCGATGCGCGTTTGGCTTGCTCGCGACCGACAGCGCTAGCGATTGCCGCAACGTCCGCCAGCCGCCAGCGCAGCGGCGGCACCTGGACTCGTCGCGCCCGGGCCGGTCACCTCGAGCGGCCGCCGCGCCTCCTCCGCCGCCCGCTCACCAGACGTGTCCAGGTACTGGCGCGGAGTGTTGACCATCTCGGTCAGGCATCTTGTTGGTCTCCTCGGGCCGGAGCGTCACGTACGCGTAGAAGCGCCGACCGGCTCCGGCTCGTACTCGTCTGAGTCCCGGCGGTAGCCACCGTCGGGTGGCACGGGTAGTCGTCCGGGTGGCGCGGGTAGTCGCCGTCCGGGTGGCACGGATAGTCGCCGCCCAGGGTGGCGCTGATAATCTCCATCCGGGTGGCGCTGGTAATCTCCATCCGGGTGGCGAGGGTAGTCTCCGTCCGGGTGCGTGACGTACCCGCCGGCCGGATCACTCATACGCGGCAGGTTGTACTGGTCGCCCAGCTCGTCAAACAGCGACCTGAACCGATTAGAGAGACAGACATATCAGCTGTTTGGGTGTAAAATGCCCTTTTTGGGATCTCTTCATGCATTGCCCTACCCGCATAACATATGATTGCTCACCACACTTGTACATCGTTCGGCGGCGGAAAAAAAAGGCATGCAGATGACGCCTTCAGCTATGTTCCGGGCTTAATGTGGATTATATATATATATTATATATATATACTATATATATATAATATATAATATATATATACATATATATATATATACACACATATATGTGTGTATATCTGAGCTGATTTGTGATTTAATCAGGTTTGCTATGCAAACCTACCTTTCTCTATCAGCCACAAAAGGTGTAGAGGTGGGATATTTTTCTGGGTGAAAACTTGGGTCACCAGTGTGGTTCAGTGTAGCATCTTCATCTTCATCATCATCTTCAATGAGATCATCAAATGCATCCTTCAATACATTCTGGAGCTGAAAACAATATAGACAAGAACATCACTCAGCATTCCATGGCTAATCAGACAACTTGTTTGATGAGCATAACAATAGCTGGCAGCCTAGTGCTCAGGTTTGATGCAAATTGAGCCTGAGACGACGAAGTTCAGCAGCATGCATATCTACCCTCATCTGGATAATGAGGCAAACACATTTTCCTATATTGCAACTTGTCCCACTTTGCAGCCTTAGCATACCTCTTGATTTCGTCGTTCCTCCTCTTCCGCTGTCTCAGCTTCGTCCTCTTCCCCGGCATCCCGAGTTCCCGGCTCCACTGAGATGTCATCAAAATGTAGACTCGCCCCATTGCATAAACTGGACCCAGGTACATCCATGATCTGCTGGGTGCCTCAAATATAGGACCTGTAATCAAGATTGCACGCTTGCAGGTGGCCATACAATGGCCCTCAATCTGATATTAATCCCCCCACCATAGTCACTTTTTTGTATCATTTTCGCTATTAACTGGTGGCAAAAATGATACAATCAAGTGGAACAATAAAGGGAATCAACTGATTTCATATTCCCTGTCTAATCTGCTCATGATGAGCGAAACAGCGCATACCAAGTGACCATTGCTTTAACTATGAGGTTATTTATAACTTCATTGGCCCGGGACTGCTCGGCACGTATGCCTTCTAGAAGTCAATACCTCTGCCACCACTGATTGTTAGTTGATGCAGCCTTTGTAATAAGCCTCGTTCCTCAACAGCTGTGCCGCATAAACTATGCATAGTATACATCTATATATATACTATTTCCTGACAGTGCGTCTGTTTGCCTGTCTCATTTTGCGTCGCGTCGCGCCCGG